TCACAGCAGCCTCCCCTGCCACCCCCGGGAAGGGGGGGAAGGTAGCACTGCAAAGCTGGTGCTGGGGGAAGCAATTTTTAAGCTATCTTACCCCAGAACTGACTCCTGCTTCCCACCCACCCCCACTACCTTTGTAGGAGGCAGCAAGCGGGGAGAAGGCAGGTCCACAAAGCCAGCACACCAGGGGAGCCTGCTTGAAAGCCTGCTTTCTGGGTGTATTGGTTTCAGCCTAGCCCCCTCACTCTCTGCACTGCTTCCTCTCTATCAGAGGTAGCAGCAAGGGACTCAGGTGGGCAGGCGGATCCCGTGCTGTGGGGACCCTGTTTAAAGCCAACTCCTCACGGGCAGCAGTTCCCCCACCCCTTGTTGCCTCTGATACCAGGCAGCAAGGGAGTGCATATAGTCAACAAGATTAACTGATAGTCCTAGTCTTATCAGTTAATCATGTAGTCAACCACAGGTTAACATCCCTAATGTAATCCCTGGGAATTCAACAGATTTCACATACAGTGGAGTCCGGATTATCCGTCACCCAGTAATCCGACACTCCACTTTATCCGACTCTGCAGCTCCCCAGGAGCTGCAGGGTCGGATACAGCGCGGGCCGGGAGAATGGCCCCGCTTGCTGCCCTGTTGCTCTCTTGGAGCAGCTGCCGCCGCTCCTGCCTGGAAGCAGCCCCAGCAGGAGCTGCAGCAGCTGCTCCTAGAGAACAATGAAACAGCTGGTGCCGCTCCTGCTGGGGACGCTTCCTCCCGGCAGAAGCGGCATCAGCTGTTCCGTTGCTCTCTACAGTAGAGTCCCTATCATCTGACATATTCGGTAATCTGACCATGTGTCGGTCCCATTTAGGTCGGATGATAGGGACTCTACTGTATATCTTGGGATAAATAGTTTCTACCAGACTTATCCCCTCAAGGACTTACACTACAGTGATTATAAGGATTGTAATAATAGAATCACAGAATATTAGGACTTGCAGAGCCCGCAAAAGGTCATCAAGTCCAACCCCTTACACTCATGGCAGGACAAAGCACCATCTAAACCAGTGGTTCCCAACCTTTTTTATACCGCGAACCAGCAACTCATTCACAAACTTTTGGTGGACCGGTAACATTTTATTTCCGTATCTGCATATTCATTAAGGTAATTAATTGTAAGAAGGCATGTGTTATTTTACATTGCATTTGTACACATACATGTTGTTGTAACGGATCAGAGTTTGCAGATATCTGCAACACTAAAAAAAATTCACAGAAAGAATTCCCCTCTGGCTGCTGGGTGGGCAGCCTGTCCCCAGGGGCGACTGGTGCCTGCAGAGGGAGTGGCGCAGGGAAGGGAACCCACAGGGGCAGGGGGCATGTGGAGCACCCTATTTAGCAAATGAAATTTTGTCAGGGACATAGGAACTGGTGCCCCCAAGTGCTACCACCAGTCACCTCTGCCCTCCCCTGCTTCTACCCCATGGGGTGGGGGAGCTGCCACTATATCTCGCCCTTTCCTTCTGTACATCCTCTGCCCTGTATGTCTCCCATTCTCAGCCAGGATGTTCTTGCTACCCCAGTCTCCCCTCCCCACATCTCCCCTTTCCCTCCCTCTGACCCCCCCCTCTAAGTTTCCCTCCATTGCACCCCTGCTTCCATCTAACCCGGAAGTCTCCACTGAATTCCCCCAACCTCCCTTCAGCGCCTCCTGCATTCCCCTCCTGCCCCACCCTCACACATCCCTTTCCCCCCTCACTCACCTTCCCTGCCCCCGCCCCTCATCAGCCCCCTTCTCACCGCCCCCAGGGGGGCTGGAGTCAGGATCCTTGGACCCCAGGCAGGGATCACAGCCAGCTCTGCTGGGAGCAGCCTGGGGCCAAACCCTCCCCCTACAGCCCTGGGGAATTGCTCCCAGGTGAAAGACTCTCTCTTACCTGCCCCCAAACACTGCCCGCCAGGTGCTGGCTAGGCTAGTGGTGCTGCCCTGTGGATACTCTGACCCTGCTGGCAATTCCCCCTTCCAGCTACAGCCTGGGCCCCTGATAATCTCCTGAGTTGTCATTATTTCCCTATTTATATATGGGCACTCTATTTGCCCTTTTCCAGTTTTAAGGAATCTCTCCTGTCTTCCATAACTTTTCAAAGATAATAGCCAATGGCTCACATATCTCCTCAGTCAGCTCCTTGAGTAGTCTAAGATGCATTTCACCAGACCTTGGTGACTTGAGGACATCTAACTTGTCTAAGTAATTTGTAAGATGCTCTTTCTGTATTTTAGCTTCTGAACCTACCCCATTTTCACCAGCATTCATTGGCATCCAATCACCACCAACCAAGAAGTCATTAAGCCCCTCTCTGTCATTTCTACATTTTCTATTATTGTACTTTGTCTTTCATCTTCCTCTTGATTCTAATATATTTGTAGAATGTTTACTTTTTACCATATATGTCTCTAGCTAGTTTAAACTTATTTTGTGGCTTGACGTTTCTAATTTTGCCTATACATACTTGTGTTATTTGTTTATATTAATCCTTTGTAATTTGACCTAGTTTCCACTTTTTGTAAGTCTCTTCTTTATTTTTAGATCATTGAAGATCTCATGGTTAAGCCAGGATGGTCTCTTACCATAGCTCCTTTCTGTCCTACACGGTGGAATAGTTTGCTTTTGTGACCTAAATGTCTCTTTGAAAAACTGTTATCTTTAATTTTTTTCCTTAGACTTGCTTCCATTGGGATCCTACCTACCAACTCCCTGAGTTTGCTGACGTCTGCCTTTTTAAAAATCAGTTATCTTTACTTTTGTTGTTCTCTCTCTTATCATTTCTTAGAAGCATGGACTCCATTGATCACTTTCATACAAGTTACATTCCATTTAGAATCATGAACTCCATTTCTCACTTTCACCCAAGTTACCTTCCATTTTCAAATTTTCAGCCCATTCCTCTCTATTTGTCAAAATCAAAACATGTCAAGACATTGTAATCTTAGCAATATTTAAGAAATTTGGAAAGACTGACTTTGTAGTAGGTCCTTAATCTTTAAATTTATACCATTTAAAAGACTTAAGCCTATTTCTGGACAGATTTCCTGCAGCTGGATTATTTTATCATCACTTCTCTATCATAGAAGGATACACTAAAAGGCTTGTATGACAAAATCAACAATGATCAGTTGTACATAAGTGCAGCATAAACGTAACGTTCCATTTAAAGTAACAGAATTGTTAACCTAGATCAGAGGTGGGGAACTTTTTTTGGGTTGGTGGGTACTGACCCACAAAAAAAATCACTCGGGGGCAGCACACAAGTGAGAAACGCAAAAAAAACCTCACCCTCGCTGATGTGGCCCCCGACTAAAAATGAGAAAGACATTCCTTCATCCCCCTCCCAGAGCCTAGGGGAGATCAAGCCTAGTAGATTTAGTGTGTTCCAGACCCATGCTGGGGCAGTGGGTGGGTGCAGAGTACCAGTGCAGGGGGGCAGGGGGCTAAGCCTCAGGGGATGGCTCCAGGCAAGCTGGGGGCTGCATCCAGCACTCAGGCCTGAGGTTACTCACCCCTGCCTTAGATTTTTTTTCCCTATTTTGTAGGCTTCTATGTTGACTTCAGATACTGTTAAAAGTTAAAGCTGCCACATGTAGATTCCTAACTGTTAGGAAATGTATTCCAGTGCATAACTATGGTAGGGAGATTGTAGAATTTCCACCACCGGAGATTTTTAAGAACAGGTTAGACAAACACCCATCAGGGATGGTCTATATAAAAAATACTCCTGCCATGAGTCCAGGGGACTAGACTAGATGACCTTTCGAGGTTCCTTTCAGTTCTATCACACTATGAAAAATGAATCAATAAAATAAAATATTTGTAAATCTTGAGAAAAAATAAACAAATATTTTGACTGAAAGAGATACCAAGTTGATTCTCTAAAAAACTTTCTAGCTTTAGCTTATTCAAAGTTAACATAAGATTGATGGTTATTGTGCTCGTGTACCATTTTTTCCCCTCAGTAAAGGAAGCATTAATAAGTGTGAAAGAGAGAGGGCAGTGAAAAAGACCATTCTTTGACTAGGGCTGATGCATCAAGCAAATCCTCCATTCTTAAGCAAAATGTAGAAAAGGCTGATGTTGTTCCTTCATGGAATGATTATATCCATGACAGCCTGATGACACAAGACAGACATGGTAATGTCATCAGTGGGAGAGAGTCAACAGTGATAAATAGCAGAGCAGAGAACTGTTTTTAGAAGGAATAAAAAAGGGCAAGGCAATCATTAGTTTGTGTGGCAAGGTTAAGAAGACAAAAAGTAGAGTGAAATTACTGACCAAAATCCCAAGGTATAACATTGAAGCAGAAAGACATCACCATGTATTTATCACAAAATCCTACAGGATAGATTATGGTAACTCATTCAAAATGAAATATTTGTTCACTATGTATATCAACCAAATAAATAGGGCATTGAGTCAAAAAGAAATACATAATTCCCAAACACTGAAGTTGTGTCACATTATTTTTCATTCAACAGATTGCAAAATATTCCATGTCAATTAATTTAATCTTTCTATACCCTATCATATCTCAAAGGGCATAATTATATAGGATATAATCCTTGCCTTGTTTCACCTTCAATAGTATCATGCATGCTATCTCTTCATGGCAGTAATAATGCTTATATAGTTGGTAGTCATATTAACAACTAGTCAGAAAGTCAAAAGTTACTATGAATTTCCTGTTTTCACTTAAGCAGCCTTGTCCTGTCTAAACTCCCTTATTTTGCTAATGAAAAGAAGTGTGCTTCACCTGCTTACAACTAACCAAATGTTTTGAAGGCTAGGATTTTGTTTTTTAATTGCTTTACAAGTTGTCAGATACACTTCTCTGGAGATCTGGTTCATTCAGGGACTAACGCACAGCCTTGATCAGAGACTAAAAGTTATCTCAAGTGAACAGTAGGCCACAGAGACCTTTATTTTTTTCTAGTGGGGGATAAAGAGACATCTATGAGCAGTACTTACCCTGCTGACTTCCTTAGGAGTCGACTCATCTGTGAAGAAACAAAGCAAACAATTAGGCATGCTTGGAAGGTTCTAGAATGAACAAAGAAAAGGTGTTGTTCTTCAAGCAACTTTTGTACTATTGTACAAAACTTTCTCTGATTTAGTTCATTATTCTGGTTTAGATGGCTGTTTTTACTCATTATATTTTTAAAAAATGCAACTGTATTTGGAAGCCAGTTGAGACGAGCCATTAAAATATACAAGTAGCTGCCCAATAACTAAAGAAGATATAACTAAGGAAGATAAAATTCCACACCTAGAGCTACAGCAATAGTCTGATTAAATGGATGAGTTTTGCTGTGTCCCTTATACTTAAATTAAAGCTCTAATACAGAATCTGGGGAAGTGAGTTGCTACCAGATCCACTGTGCAACCCTAGACACTGAGGGCTTGATTCTGTTCCACATGAAGCCAATGGCAATACCCCATTTACTTCTTTGGGTGCAGCAGCAAGCCATAGTGACCAAGAGCACATTGATAATGTGGTCTTGTATAACACTGAAAAAAGATGCACAAATTATAGGAATATATTTAATCTTCCATTTTTAGCATACATATAGACTATGCTGTTCCTTTTTTGAAGTCTACATTTAAAGTTATAAAGAAAGATATAGCAACACAGCATATCTTTAAAGGTATAGTGCAACATTTCAGAACGTGAACAACGGGAAAGCAACCATACAATAAGAGACCTTCTGTCACAGAAATGTAATTAAGAACCTACAACCTCATGTGTCTTCTGCTGCATAACTATTTCTTATAAGAAAACATGGAACAATCTGTATTTTTCTATATTTGATCCAACAAGCTGAAGCATTACGTTTTAGACATTAAATCCAAATCACAAATGGATTTCATCATATAATTAGGTCATATCCTTATTATTGGAGCCTTTATTTATACATATTTGCATGCATCTGCGTAATGTGGATTTTCAAATACTACATCTCTGCCAAATGTGGTCATAGTAATCCTCCCTCATAACCACAACTGCCTTTGGACACACCATGGACACGCTTTGTTCGCCTGAACAAGATTCACAGTCTAACACCCACTATTAAAAGAACTTTTAAAAATCTGTGACAAATAGTTCTTGAAGAAATTTACAATAAATATTTGATATCATTAATAGTGTTCATTTCCCCAAATTTATCTGAACAGGTTTCATTTTTTTCTGAATCAGAATTATGCCTTACCTTAGTTTAAAAAAAAAATCTTACAGTAAATATTCTATGTGCACGAAGTATAGGGACATGCCCAGCTAAGCCATTTTAATTTGTCTGGTTAAATACTTATCAGTGGACCCCAGGCATTTCTTCCCCTCCCCTTGCTGTACCAGAGGCAGCAAGGGGGAGGGAGCAGGAGCTGATGTCAGTGAGCTGATAGAGAGGCAGTAGCATGGAGGGTGAGTGGTGTAGGCTGGAGCCAATTCACATGGGGGAGCTGGCTTTCAAACAGGCTCCCCACACATGCTGGCTCCGCCTGCCCCCCACCTTGCTGCCTCCTACAGAGGCAGGATCCAGCATTGCGGGGAGGTGGCTTAAAAGTCAGTCCCACCCAGCAGCAGCTCC